ACCACAGCCCCTTGGCAAGCCACGAGAACACGCTGTGCTTGCTCAGCTTGGCCAGACAGCCACGGCTGAGAACACACAAGGGAAAACTCACCTCCCACGGGCGATTTTCATGAAAACTGAGGATGAAGCGCATACCGGAGCAGCGAGCTGTTCGTTTTCCAGGGCCGCCCCTCTTTGCTCCACGCTCACCCCAGGCGCTCCAGCTGCTCCTGCAGGCTGGGTATTTTTATTTCTGTGCATACTTTGATCGCACCCGCTTCACCTCGGTCCCCGGCAGCACAGCACACGCCGCGTGCCTCGCCTGCGCGGCAATTCCCCTCCGATGACTTCTTGCATCAGGACCCGCAGGAGCGTGCCCGGGGAGCTCCCCTCCAGACCTGTCTGCACCATGGGGGTTAAAATAAACCGTTCTTAAATTGCAACAAAAATAAACCTACAGTAACGACAGGCGGGGAAGCAGAGCGGAGGTTTCCCTGCCTGGACTGCACACCGGATTCCCCCGGCCAGGCTAGCAAGGGGCAAGGAGCATTTTTTCCTAATAAAGCAAAAGGGTTTCTCTTCAAAGGATTTGTGCCTCTTCTAATCTTTCCATGCAAACCGGTTGCCAACTGGCGTCAGCTGCTTAACGCGTTTGCAGAGCCGGTGCTGGACGCCTTGCACACGCTGTTCCCACCTCGCAGCGCTGGGAAGGCAAAACCCCATCGCCCCCCACGCCCACCCGATGGAAAAGATGGAAAGGTTGGAAAAAGCATGGCAGCAAGGGAGAATTATTCAGATTAGAAAGCTACAAACGGGGAGCAAGCCTGGAGACACAATTCAGGCCGAGCCAACGCAAAGTGATGCTCTCGCTCGAGCTGCTCGGCTGCATTCTCCGCGTCTGAGTTATCAGGGCTCTGGAGCCATCGCGGTGAGCACAAGGAAAGCGTTCCCACTGCGGAGACAAGCAATGAGCTGGGCACAGCGAGGCTGCACGGGACTGCAACCCCCGCCAGCAGCAGGCAGCGTGCTCGCGGAGGCAGACGTCGGAGCAGGCGCCTCGTCCCCACTCCTGCGGGCGATTTTGCAACGGGGCGAGGGAAGAG